ATCCAAATTCACTCTAGCAAACTTCAGACGGGCCTGGACATGTACTGGCTTAAGCAGGGGGACATGTCTGGCACTGCAGGATTTGAGTCCCTGGCGGCGTAGTGTTTTACTGATGGTAGGCTTTGTTACTTTGGTCCCAGCTCTCTGCAGGTCATTCACTAGGTCCCCCTGTGTAGTTGTGGGATTTTTGCTCACCGTTCTTGTGATCATTTTGACTCCACAGGGTGAGATCTTGCGTGGAGCCCCAGATCGAGGGAAATTATCAGGGGTCTTGTATGTCTTCCATTTCCTAATAATTGCTCCCACAGTTGATTTCGTCAAACCAAGCTGCTTACCAATTGCAGATTCAGTCTTCCCAGCCTGGTGCAGGTCTATAATTTTGTTTCTGGTGTCCTTTGACAGCTCTTTGGTCTTGGCCATAGTGGAGTTTGGAGTGTGACTGTTTGAGGTTGTGGACAGGTGTCTTTTATACTGATAACAAGTTCAAACAGGTGCCATTAATACAGGTAACGAGTGGAGGACAGAGGAGCCTCTTAAAGAAGAAGTTACAGGTCTGTGAGAGCCAGAAATCTTGCTTGTTTGTACGTGACCAAATACTTATTTTCCACCATAATTTGCTAATAAAGTCATTATAAATCCTACTATGTGATTTTCTGGATTTTTTTCTTCTCAATTTGTCTGTCATAGTTGACGTGTACCTATGATGAAAATTACAGGCCTCTCTCATCTTTTTAAGTGGGAGAACTTGCACAATTGGTGGCTGACTAAATACTTATTTTCCCCACTGTATAGAGGTCACTGTTTTCACAGTTTATTCTTGACAAGACCCCCAGTAGGCATTTGAACAGGGATTTTGAATGTATTGCATTTGGTAGTTTAACAAGGTTTTAAAGAACATCATCTCTGTTGCGGTCATAAAGAGTAAATAGGACCTGACCTGTACTTCAACTGTAATCCAGATATTTGGATTTAGCCATTTCTAAGCAAAACATCTCCTTCCGTCTTTTCACAGGCTACACAAAATGTCATTGCTTCATGAAACATCTCTCATTTGTTGTGCCATGCATATTTCATGATGCAGTTGATTACAGTATCTGGATGATGTTCGTATTTAATAAGCACAGGGCCTTGGATGGGATGAAATCACACAAGGGAAGATACTGGATTATGTCTTGAGTGCATGTGTTATACATGGTTAGCACGAGTCGGTAATGCTCCAGCTATTTTGCTTCAGATGTATATCAAATGCTATCAATTACCTTACAAAAGCAGGAATTCAATTGAATATGTTCTATGCAACAAGGATTGCTTCTGTGCCACACATCTTATGCTCCTTTGGCCCCTTCTCACTTTGTATTGTGCCCCTTTCACCTTGCTGTCAACTGATCCAGGACCAGTCTATACATCAGTAAGTAAAGCAATTGAGTCTTTCAGAAACTGAAATATGTGATGAGCCTCCTTTTGATTCAATCTTTGATCCCAAACTCTTTTATCTTCATAAAATGCTGATTTAAGGTCATTGTGCTAAGGAGCATCTGCCAGCGACCCAGAAAATTGGGAAGGGATGGAGTGATTATGATGAGTGATCTGATAACTCCACATGATGGAGAGAAAACCAAGCTTAGACTTCAGATGCACATCAATCTCTTTATATTGGAACATATACTTCTGTTCACTGTGCTTATCACATCGCCTTAGCTAAGAATATTGATCTGCTGTAAGCTAAAGTAATTGGTTTTTTAAAATGATTGTGTGAACATTTTTTTCCTTACATATTCCCAAGCATCCACTGATATGTGTCCAAATAATCAAACTCTTATTCATGTGGTTGATAGTTATCATCAGTTTTGATCTACTAAGTTAAGATTTCTATTTCTTATGTCTCCTGACCCTTCCAGCTAAGTTAAGATGAGCTCATGATAATTCACTGTTTCTGTCAACTGTACTTAGCCTCCTTCCTAAATGGCCAGTTCTGAGAGTATCAGTATATCCGTATCCCAAACCTGTAACTTTTTACAATGTTCCATTCACCATCATGCAACATAGCTCAACTTTAATTCACCATCTGTTCCTCTTGGACATTTGACCACAAGTCATTTACCACCGCGCTACTCTTCACCATTGTTCAACGATACTGAATTAACCATTATTCACCCCGTACTCTGCCAACAGAGCAGTGGATGTCAGCCCAAATGGAAAAGTGTTATTAACGTTCGCTATTCATTTATTGGCCATTTCGGTTTGGGGCATTAAAGACTGGCAGCGGTTGGAGCGAGATCAAAAGGATGAGGCTACATCATTTTGTCTCGTAAAAAATACACTGTTAAGGATGCATGCATCACTCTTTTCAGTGAAACATCAATTGAGAGCCATTAAGTACACCACTAGTGCTTTACAACCCATGTCTGCTCTGCAGTGTTGATCACAGCTCTGAATCAAAGATGTGGTGGGCACCCTGTGATTCTTATAACCACTGAACCAATGGGCTATGCTGTTTCAAAGCCAAACATACAGCCATTAGGCCAAGCAGAATCTGTTTTATGACAGCTATCTGCTTTATTATCTGATGTTTAGTTTTTTGTTCTGTGCTCAACGCTTGGATGTTTGATTGTATCTTTCTCTATGAACTCGCTCCTAGAATTATCATCTTTTCTGGGGCATCGTCTTTTCATTATACACCATCATTACTGTTGATGAGGTTTAGCGAGACAAAGTAACTCAATGCCTGGCTAGCAATATAGAAAGGAATTGAGGGTAACACTTGACACCCAGCGTCATAATACGTCATAACCATGTCATAACAGCTGACATAACTTGTCATAATATGGTCATAACACTGTCATGACACATATATTTAGACCTGTTGTGGCATATATTGCGTTATTTTATGGCTGGTTATGACACCTACATAAGAGTGTCAAAACCAACAAAACCTACCACACAAGGCAAAACATTCCATTACACCATAGTCTACTTGTCAACAGTATGTTTATGTTATATAACATTTTCAGAAATTGACCATATTAAATTATCATTGTAATTGTGCACACATTGATGTCAGACATGCACCTACCCCAATGCTCTGTTTCTGATGACTGGGATGAATACAGAAGAAGATTTCAGGAGCAGGACAAGACACCCTCTTTTTGACTGATGATTGATATAAGGGCATGTACGGGATAGGCCTATCTGGCTTATATGAATATGATGGTCATAATGCTTCTTGACATTGTCATAAAGTGTGTTATCTTAGTCCAAGTAAAGTTACACAGGATGGTCATGATGCTTTATGACAGTGTCATAAAGTGTATTTTCTACAAGTTATTTAAAGTATGGTGGAAAAAAGCATGACTGTAAAGAATTCATTACAACAACAACAACAAAGGATTTAAGAAACAAACTTTCAAACAAAAAGATACTTCTTGGCAGGACAAAAACAAATTCACTGCAAGAATTAATCGTTTTGAGTCACAGTTGGAGGTTTGTACAGAACAGCCTCGGTACAGTAAAGTGAAACCAAATTTGAGAAATACATTTTCTCCACTGGTAGCTAGTCTACTGTATATTCAAGTCATTTCAGATGCAATCATCATCACCATTGAGAGAGCAACTAATGTTCCAGGAGATTGGCATAGTAGTTTGTGAGACACAGAGACCAGATGGTTTGCAGGCCAGGTTCCTCCACAATATCCCCGCTACAATATCGAGTGCTGCGATTTATTGGGGGTGAAAGCCGGAGCAGTCTACAAATAAAAACAATAACTCTGTGCTTCCGGAAGGCGCCGGGCCTAGCTGGCAAGCAACCGACAACCAACCGACTGTCTTTTCAACTTTTTTCCTCCCAAACCCAAACGTGTCTGGGCCGCTGTTGCATTCTCAAAGTTGATCATTACGGCCCCTGTAGATGGCTTATTACCGTTTCCTCCGGCGTTCGCCGGTCTGAAAGGCCTCCCAGGAACAGATTAGTGATCCAATAACGGTGGAGCATCCACCTCAGCAGCAGCAGGTGCTCCCCTGAGTGAATGCTGATGAGGCTGCTACCATGCAGAGCGGGTAGGCCCCGGAGCGAGACAGAGGACGAGACGGAGGAAAGGAAGGGGGACAGCAGGTGGCCAGCCCTATCGGTTCTGTTTATCTGTATCTCAGCTGGTGCATGCTATAGAGCAGGGATGGTCAACTGGGCCCCCCTTTTGTAGGCCCGCGGACCAATAAAATATAAAAAGAATAATATTTTTGGGTGGGGAACTCAGTCGGGGTCTCTACTTACTGTTGAGAGTTAGAATAATAGAATACACAAGGTGCAATTTCGAAATTTGTTTGTGCATCAGTAGTCACTGAATTAGCCATGTCATCAAAAAATTATTAGATTGGTAAATTAGTCTAGCGGCCAGCTATCTAAACGTGTAGTAAGCATGGTCCAATTACCGCTAGGGGTGGGGCCCATTGATCATCAGTTGTCATATTAAAAACTGCAAACATGATGAGTTCTGTTTTTTTGTGGCCCCCACCTCCATCAAAGTTGCCCATCCCTGCTATAGAAGATGGGGAAAACGTGTTCCTTTACGTGAAAAGGAACAGCACATCTCCCACACCCATGACATATTGCATGTATGGCAACTCTGGCCACAGTTATCAAGTTACAGCTATCAGTTATCAAGTAAACTCTAATGTAGCGTGCCAGCCTCGTAAAAGGCCAGTATAAGCAAAGTCTACTGTATCTTCTGTGAGACAATAATATTCAGTCTACAATATGAAGAATGCACAAACAGAAACAATTGGGTCTTCCTTTTCTTTATATACGTATAGCTTAATGTATTTTCTGATAGTAAAATAAAGTTTGATTAATTTATGAATATACACGTTCAGTATATTTATCATACAGTGAATAAGTAATAGATACACTTCGTACACACAGCAATAAAATGTGCTCCTCAACCTTCAAAACCTGGCGAAATTGACTTGGAGGCATATGGATGAGACAGTTGGCAAATGGAATCAAATCACTTTCTATAGCAGAGGAAGTTCATCATCTCCTCACAGTCCCTGATTCCCCAGTACTCTTCTTCTTTGGCCAGGGTCCCACAGTGGTATCTGCCTGGGCACTGGGGCAGCGTCCCCCCGGTCCCTAACCCGGCCTGGTACTCCAGAGCATCCCCGTTCACCCACAGCCAGTAGCCGGCATGGAAGCGCAGGCCCGTCCACACGTGGTCCGTCTGGGCCCCCTTCATCTTGCTCTGGGCCTGGAGCTGCTTTGTCTCAGAGAGTAGGCTGGGGAGGTCTGTGTAGTGATCCCTGCAGTGCTTTAGAGCCTCCACCCACGTCTTATTCTCCTGAACCAGGATCAGCTCATTCTCCCCTCCATAGCAGACGAAAGTGTGTTCATTATCGCATTTTGTGTCAATCCATACATTATCAAGCACATTGACGCAGGTCTCAGATTTACCTTTGTATGGCTCTTTTTTTCCCCAAAGCCTGAACTCTGAGTCCTCCCCTCCTGACCACTTCCACCCAATTGGGTCATTGGCATCTCTGTATAGACCAATCCACATCACCTGCGCCGTTTCTGTAATGTTAAAGACCAGCTCTGCTTCTTCCTGGTTGCTGATGAAGGCCAGGTCAGTGTAGTGCTCTCGGCAGTACTGTTGAGCGTCGTGCCAAGGTCAATATTTCATCCACATGGTAGTATGTTTTGCTGGTCAGCCCAGATGCCACTGCACACAGAGCAGTGATGAGGAGCCAAGTGAAGCTGCTCTTCCTCTGCATGATGCTCAGTCAGTGTGGTGTGGAGCTGAGGTGACCCTGCTGCTGCTCTTCTACCTGCTCCATCTACCTGGCCCCACCCACCTGGAAACCCAGCCCACCAATCATAGGGCTTCCTTACCTGAACATCCCATTGCTCCTTGAGCCCCCCACCCTCTCTCTGTTCGAGGCGGGTCATTGCTCTTACCTCTAACCTCCTACATTAGGTTAATCTCCATTTGCCCTCTCAGGCAAATAAAAGTCATGCAAAACTCCTCACTCCCTCAAAGCATAACAGAAGGCTGGACAGGGCTGCATTCCAACATGAATTGGCTGACCCATGTTTTCACCAAGGTCCTGTGTCTTGTACTGTACAGGGTACTTCACCCTGCCTCCAGACCTGTTGTTAAATTATTGTATTAATTTTACTGTGATATTATTGTCCCCCACAATGAAATCGTGGAGGGGACTGTGGATCTGTCTCCGTCTGTTAGTCTGTTTGTACGATAGTCACATGCAATATATCTCAGACAGCACCTGCCCGATGTTGACGAAACCTGGGTGAATGATGCGTCTTGCCATAGAGATCCAGCATTTACAAAATTACACTGTTTGGCCAGATGGTATTGCTATAACAAGGGATTGAAAATGCTAACTTTGAAAGGTCATGCCCTTTGACCTAAAGTCATGAAATTCCGATGTGCAAGAAACTTTATATGTGGCATCTATGGACAAAGCTCTATCAACTGAATAGTTTCCAGACTAGTACCTAAAACAACATGGCTGCTATTGGCCAATAAACATGTGTAAGAAAATGTGGTACACATGTTGCAAACACTGTCAAGAACCAACATCGACCACACGGTGGCGCTATAACAGTCACATGTTTATATCTCTTGAGCTGTTTGACGCACAGTGATGACATTTGGCACACATGCCCAGGGATATGAGTCTAGCTAACCCACGCGATATCTCAGACATCACTGGCCTGATTTAGACGAAACTTGGGTGAATGATGCGTCTTGCCATTGAGATCTGTAATTTACAAAATTACACTGATTGGCCCAAGGGGGGCGCTGCATCATTTGTGGGGGGGGGGGGGCGACATGAATACTGTTGCCTTGTCATATAGTTGCCTTATGTTGGTACAAGGAGCCAGAGGGTGTGTCATTATCGCTGTTGGCTGGGCTCCCTGCCTGTGCCATTAAACCCCTACAACTCATCCAGAATGCCGCAGCCCGTCTGGTGTTCAACCTTCCCAAGTTCTCTCACGTCACCCCCCTCCTCCGCACACTCCACTGGCTTCCAGTTGAAGCTCGCATCCGTTACAAGACCATGGTGCTTGCCTATGGAGCAGTGAGGGGAACGGCACCTCCGTACCTCCAGGCTCTGATCAGTCCCTACACCCAAACGAGGGCATTGCGTTCATCCACCTCTGGCCTGCTGGCTCCCCTTCCTCTGCGGAAGCATAGTTCCCGCTCAGCCCAGTCAAAGCTGTTCGCTGCTCTGGCACCCCAATGGTGGAACAAGCTCCCTCACGACGCCAGGACAGCGGAGTCACTCACCACCTTCCGGAGACATTTGAAACCCCACCTCTTTAAGGAACACCTGGGATAGGATAAAGTAATCCTTCTACCACACCCCCCAACCCCCCCCCCCCCCCCCCCCAAAAAAAAAAAAAGTATACTTGTAAAGTGGTTATCCCACTGGCTATAGGGTGAATGCACCAATTTGTAGTCGCTCTGGATAAGAGCGTCTGCTAAATTACGTAAATGTGCCCTTGAGCAAGGCACTTAACCCTAATTGCTCCTGTAAGTCGCTCTGGATAAGAGCGTCTGCTAAATGACTAAAATGTAAATGTAAATTATAGGACAGTGTGGGCAATGGGATGAGGGGGAGAAAAACAGATGAGAAATATTCTTGTTGAATGTACAGCAGCCTGGCGTTGAGGTTATTGTTTCATAAATCCACAATTGTGAGAGGTTGGTTTCATTCCAGGGACTTGGAAATGTGGTTGATTCTGGGAAAACGCAGGATATTTCAGAAACTCACATAAATGATGGATAGGGTGAGCAAGCCCCATACAATGTGAAGCGTTTTGAGAGTCAAACATTTTCTATATATGTGCAATGCATTATTGTCATCATCATTATTAGTAGACCTGTATGATCCTGATGCAAGGTAAACAGCTACAAAAAATATATTGAACCTGGCTGAATATCAGCTATAGGCCTAATTTCATATGATTTTATTGTTTGTTAATGGTGGTTATGATATGATAATAATCAGAGGGCATTCTGACCTCATCGATGGAGGTGTCTTGCCTAAACCCACCTGTCCAGGGAGTGTACCTGTTTTGGCAAATCAGTATCATTACTCAACTCTGTTAATCTGCACAGAGACAGCAGGCAAATCATAGCCCTGCTTCCCAAACAAATCAGCCCTGCTCCAGAGAGTGAAAATCAGACCTTAGGCAAAAACCTCCATTTGAATATTTCCCAATGCTTCCAGTTTCCAACAGTGACATTTTCTGAAGCATGGAAAATGCTTTTTTTCATTCCCCTCTTGTGATCATAATGGCAATTTGAATTGAAATGGAATTGATCCCAGGCCTGGTCATGACGACTTTACCGTACAAGTCCTTTCCTGTCTTTCACAGTGACCCTGGCTGACGGAGAAGTGGAGGAGCAGTGCTGTGAACCTCTAGGGATGTGCTTGTCCCATGTGTTCCCTGACAGGCACGACGTGTAAACACACACGTGACTCTAAACAGACAGTCTTGGAGTGTCTGTCCATTTTATAAGTAAACACAGAGGCCTGGGTCTGTGAAATTGAAAAACCACACAAAACACAGACAGATCTCATTTAAAGCGGCTTGATATCTCGCCGTGAAAGCGGTTGGGGTTTTATATGGAGGATGGAGTGTTATAGTCCCATTGTATTCCACAGAAGAAAACTCTTCATGTATTTGTTTTGTTTACTTCTCTGTTTTTGTCTGTGCCTCTTTTATATTGGGAGCTTTAGTTAAGGCTATGATGCCATAGATGGAACAATAGCCTGAGAGAAAGACTGGATTTACTGCTGCTGTACAGAAGCAGATAGCAATGGTAATGTTGTGTTGTGGTTTTTCTCCTTAACAATGGACTTTTGAGAACAGTCACTCACAGGTCACCCATCCATAGCCTGAGACCTTCTCATGCATGGGTGGGGGTTACTTCGATAAAAAATCTGTGTTTCTTCCTGTTTCTATTCCAATGGAACCCATCCTGTTTTGGAGGTATTATACTACTTGACTATGTGAGGAAGGAGCAAGTACGTACTTGGTGCTCTTTCAGAATTCAGCTCTAAGCTGCTGTCTGTCATGATAGAAAAGTTCCTTATACAAACATGGAAATGCGCTAGTGTTGTTTATAATTGTGATATAATGTGTTTTGTGAATTGATGCTATAACAAACACATTGCACAGAAACAATTAAGGAAGATGTGGCACATCGGCATCTGTTTTCACAAGGTGAATTGAATCACAGCAAAAGAACCAATCAAACAGGTAATTTCATGGCAGAACATTATCTTTTGTGTCTCGTTTGCGTCTCAGAAATGCATTCATTTCACATTATGGTGGAAGCTGCCTTCGCATGGAAATGTTAAATACCGTAATTACATGGATGGAAGTTCGTGGCAAGTTGCAGGCATTAATTTTCCATGTGGTTCTGTATCGGAGAGTTAAATACACTGCTGTGCAACCAGCGGCACTCAAATACATAAGATCCGAAAGGCTTGTATTAATACAACTCCTTTACTATGTTGTGAGATAGATAGTGTTGTAATCTTCTTAATACGCCTTTATCCAAAATGCTTAGTCTTTTTCACAAGCAACAGCTAATAACCATCCCTGACTGTCAAATCTAGATTTAATTATTCACCTGGGAAAATAATAACATTATGACTTTGTTTTATAGCCTCCGGGTCATACCCGAATCCCTTATGATGTTGTCTTTGAAGATTCCTTAGATTAAATCCCAATGCTGTATTGACTTTGCGTTCACAAATCATCGTACACAGTAGTTTGATAAAGTCGATAAAAAGATTAGCTATGTGATGCTTCTTCGCCTACAACGACTCTCAGATGTGGGGATATGGGAGTGAAAAGAAGCACATCGAGTTCAAACAAAGATGAGATAGAGAGAGAGCGAGGCGCAAACACGAACATCATCACTCCTACCTCACAAAGACGCTCCCTATAGCCAGAACATCACCCTATACTTTCACTCACCACCATCTGTTATCTCACCAGTAACAATGAATTCATTTACATTACATTTCCCATTTCCAGTTGTTTATTAGATAGGACATATAGTATCGGCACGTGGGCGACCACAACGTTGCTCTTAGACTGATTCCCAGCTCAGCCGATGATAAACTATGTGTTCCCAAATGGCACCCTATTCCCTAGTTAGTGCACTACTTTTGACCAGAGGTCATGCACTATAAATGGAAAATGAATGCAGTATATAGGGAATATGGTACAATTTAAGACACATACAAAGACTGATCTGAGCTCAGTGGTAGGCGAGACACAGCGATAGCTAAACACAGTAATTATGAGCGATGGGCTTCTTACAGAGCGGCAGCATCAAACCCAGAACTCACACTGATGTAGCTAGCGTCTCCTATTTAGAAGGAGGGAGGGGGAGCAGCTCTTTTATGTAAATACACTCCAGAGAGGGGAAATGTGTGGGCAGGCTGGCTGAATTTCATTAAACCCAGTGTTTTTCAGTAAAAAAATGGGTTTTATTTAGTTACTTACTGTCTGTAGTCCAGGCCAAATGTATATGGTGATGGGGGACTGAGTCCTACAGGGAGGAATCACCAAGGTATTCTGACAGGAGACTCCAGAGTGACATTTTCTGTCAGCTAAACGGCACAGGAATGGGCAGAAATTACTCTATTACTCCCAATACTTGCTGCAGGACTTACTGTATCTCGAAACATTGTAAAATTTGAATCGAAATGAGGCGATAATCGATATAAGAAAAATATAGAAATATTACGACAGTCTTTTGTAATAGATTCATAATGTCATTCTTAGTCTTGCGTAATCCAGTTTTACCCATATTTTATTTTTATTCAAACCTGCATCCAACCAGCAATGTTCCTGCAGTATGAAAATGCCAGTCGGGACCACCCATACACAAAAATGTATGCACACATGACTGTAAGTCGCTTTAGATAAAAGCGTCTGCTAAATGGCATATTATATTATATTTATCATACACCATCTTTCCATACCCCTCCTTCCCTTACTCCACCTCCCTTCCCCCTCCACTCATTCTATCTCTCTCTCTCTCTCACTCTCTCTCTCTGTATATCTGTATCTCTCTCTCTCTCTCTCTCTCTCTCTCTCTATGGCTGTATTCCTAGATACACAGCCACAGGTTGTCACAAACATCCTTTCCTCATACTATAATGTTACAGCCCACTGCCTATAATGGAGTCCATGGCATTGACATCATAAACCATTATTATTCAGTGCAGAAAGGTGCTAAACCTCCGCTCGCTACTTGGAACGTTAAATGTATGGCTTTTCCTACAAAACATATTTTGCTGTATTGGCATAGATTTCTCATTTCAAGGTGATAGGTGTGCTAAGGGAAGGTATGTGAGCGTGTGAGCATTTAGCTGTATCGTTCTTGCTGGAGGTTTCATTTGCCGTGGGTTGCAGCGAGGCGCTCTGAGGTTAACCACCCAACACAGGCCATCCCTCAGGGGAGATAGCGCACTTGTTTTTCTCTTATCTCCCTGGAATAGATAAGCACCCACCTGGAGGCACAGACAACACAGCCTGCATGCTGCTGGATCCACTCCTCTATACACTGCTCTCTTCTTATTTTCTGTCCATCTCCCTCCTGAGATTGCTTCTGCTTTGTGTGTGTGTGGTGTCTGTATGTTTTGCCTCAGAAAAGGACATTCAGAAGAGGAGGTCTCATCCTCTCTGTAGGAATCGTGTGTTATTTGGAAGTGTAGATATGCAGCTCGTTGACTGTTAATCACTTATTAAGACTAACTGTGGTGTAGTGACGTGTCAGTGATGTGTCAGTTGACAGATGCTGTGTGGGGCCTGGCTGTGATGAAGTTTGAAATGGTGTGAATGTGAATTCATGCCTGAAGAAAATATCAGTTTATGTATTGTGGCCTTGCCGCAACTCCTCAGTGACGCTATCAGATAATTGCTTATTAATCATACACTTTTCACACATACACATGCACACATACACACAAACACACACACACATGCTCCTGAGTTCAGACAGCTTTGATACTCTCCTGTAGTCCTTGATGTCACTGGGGGTGTCGTGATTTATTGAATCTGATTTTCAATCTTCTCATCCACTGGAAGTTTTCTCCCAATTAGATTGGCAAAACTCAGAACACAAGGGTAAGAAATTATCAAAGGTTGAGCTGCATGTGGTCCTCTGTAGCTCAGCTGGTAGAGCACGGCGCTTGTAACGCCTGGGTAGTGGGTTCGATCCCCGGGACCACCCATACACAAAAAATGTATGCACGCATGACTGTAAGTCGCTTTGGATAAAAGTGTCTGCTAAATGACATATTATTATTTAAGTGGAATTATACGAGGACCCTCAAAAAAGTGAATGTCAAAGGGACTTTGGCTAACAAGTTAACATGGACATTAGAATTCCGGTTGCAAGCACTGTAATTTATTCTCAAAATGGTCTAATCATTTATGGCCCTGTTCCATATTCAAGGGGAAGGAGGTCTGCTGGTGAGATTTCCATTCCTGAATGTCATTGGAACACTACTGTACTGCATCCTACCTGGCTGGCTGCTACCCGCCTTGGACATTGACTTGACTCATTGGTAGATAAACATCCACTGTCTTAGTGGCTTTGTCTTTGCATACAATGCACAGAAACATACCAATGTTTCTACTGTGAAAGATGCCTAAAGACAATGGCATCCTATTTGCATATATTCCAGTCCTTGAAAAGAGGGATTTAGTTCCTGCACCTACAGTGTTCTACTCAGTCTTCATTTTCTGTCTTCTTGGGTAAAACATTCGAAGAACAACAATACTTGTCAGCGACTAATACGTTTCTCAGCCTCCAACGTGGCGGCGTGCTGCACGAAGAAAACCGCCCCAGTGCCTAGTCTCTGGCTGGGCCCAAATGTCACCCTATTCCTTATGTAGTGCACTACTTTTGACCATGGCCCATAAGGCAGTGCACTATATTGGGAATAGGGTGCCATTTGGGACACAGCCTCTCTCTCTGTCTGATTAATGAGTGGGGGGAGACCCACATCTTTGGCTTGATGAAACAATTTATACAGTTCCCTGGGAAAGCAATAGCTCCCGAGTGGCGCAGCGGTCTAAGGCACTGCATCTCAGTGCTTAAGGCGTCACTACAGACCCCCTGGTTCGATTTCAGGCTGTATCACAACCAACCGTGATTGGGAGTCTCATAGGGCGGCGCACAATTGGCCCAGTGTCGTCTTGGTTTGGCCGGTGTAGGCCGTCATTGTAAATAAGAATTTGTTCTTAACTGACTTGCCTAGTTAAATAAAGGTTAAAAAAAATAGCAGTTCATTTTATTGTAATGCGTCCCGAGGGAGACGTAAGCAAACCTCCGTACCTGCGTACGATGTGGAGGTGTTTCCGGATAACGATTCAGAGGTGCACTGGAGAAGAGTGATGTGTTGGCACAGCCTTGCAGTGTTTGTACTGTAATACTGTAGGCGGTCTCATTGGGTTTAAGTGTGCCTAGGGCTGACGTTATAAAGTGGGTAACCTTCATGGATTAGCTATATCATTATTGCTCTATACTGAGCAGATGCAATATAACTGTTTTAATGAATCTAGTCCAATACATGATACACCACTGATACAACAGTAAAATACACATACAGTGGGCTGCAAAAATATATGCACTGGCTGTGCAGCCATTATAGCTGTGTTGTCTAAGATGAACTGTTCTGACATCCCCATGCTGTTCGTGATGTGGGACATTTGCAAAGCCAACTTGGAAAATGAGACCCATAATTGAGCAGGTAGGAACAGTCTAGGCACGGGGAGAACTCCCATAATGCACAACAATTTGTGAGTCTGGAGTAAATGAGGACTCTGCCAGAATGGTCCCCATTCCTCCATCCCTCTGGGATTTTAGTGCCCTTGTTTTCAACTAATGTAGGCTATTTAGCCTAGCTTCAGGCTGCCGATACTGGAGGTAGTTTGGCTATTGTTTCTCACAAGATTGTACTGAAATAGTAACATGTACAGGGATTTGAGAGAACAGAGAGAGATGGAGAGAGAGAGCATTTGAAAGAAGAATAGTATTAGTATTAAGATATTGTTCTTCACAACAGTGTACAGGAACAGCTACATTTACAAGGACTGCGGAGAACTTGAGAGAGATTTAGAGAAAGTAAGAGGAAGAGAGTATTTAAGCAATAAGGCATTAGAACCCGTGCCGACGTGAAGCTGAGGGCCTGGGAAAACAGCCCTTATGAGGGTGTTATTCCCCATAATCCCCTGGTTCGAGTGCCTTATTGCTTTTATAAAATGGTTGCCAACATATTAAAAAAAGATTAACGACATTTTTACATAACATTTTTTATTTTAATGAGTACATTTGTTTTATTTAATCCTTCCACCAGATGATATAGTCCGGGCAAAAGCCAGTAGTTAGTTCTGCTATTTTTAAGTTGCTAGCCAAGTAGGCTGGTGTCACGACTTCCTCCGAAGCTACCTCCTCTCCTTGTTCGGGCAGGCTTCGGCGGTCGTCGTCACCGGCCTTCTAGCCACTGCCGCATCACATCTCATCATTCCATTTGTTTTGTCTTGTCTATTACACAGACCTGGTTCATATCTCCTCATTAGTACATATATAAGTGTTCCCTCTGCCACCCTTGTCCTTGTGAGTGATTGTTTAATGTGAGGAGAGAGTAGCTCGGTTGAGCTAGGTGAACTTTGTATTGCCGGGGTATATTTTTCCTGTGTGTCTGTTTTGTTCCAGTGCGCCTGTTTTGCGCACTAGACTGTTTGACGCTATCCAGCGTAACTCTGTACTACGGAATAAACTCTGTATTCTGTGATTTACCCTCCTGCGCCTGACTCCTTCAAATCACCTCTCACAGCTGGTCGTCCATTCTATTGTCAAGGTTGCCCGCCAAGCGGACTGGTCGTCCATTCTAGGCAAAAAAAAGTTGCTATGCAAGCTGGCTTCTTCTCCTTTGCTAGCTAGCCAACTAAAGCCTTCACACAATCACATCAAGCAGCTGAAATGACAGCAAACTGTGTGCATTGTAGGTTGTTTTACCTTCATTTTTATTGTAATTTCTTTGGATATATCCATTATAATGAGTCTACTCTGGACACGTTCATTCTCAATGGCACGGTGGAGATCGCAAAAATAAAACAGGTACATTGTTGCACAGGTCGGAGAGGCAGGCAGCAGGGTTTAGACCAGAGGTTTTCAAAGTGTGTGGCGCGCCTCCCCAGGGGGATGCCAGAGAGTTTTCAAGGGAGGCGTGAAAGGAAATCCAAGTCAAACTGTATTCGGTTCTCTAAAATGAATAAATATTAAGCCTGTTTCTAGCTACAATCGCTGGGAAAACACATATTTTAGCTTTCCAGTGCTACCACGTTTATTTTTCAACTCAAATTGCGAGCATGGCATTGTTTCAAAAATGCAAATACAACCAGAGTTTGTAGCTTGGGGTGTGTTCAGTTTGATTAAATGTTTGCTATGTTGCGTGACGGTTTCTTCTGAATGACACATTTCCCCAAATTGTTCTTTAATGTTCTTGAACAGACTTTGAGCAGTGTGGGCCCCGGTGGTAATAAACTAGTCAAACCAAAAGCTTACCTTGACTTGGAAGAGTTCCAGGGTTGTGTTGGAAAGTCATAGCCAGCTAGCTAACATAACATCCCACTGTTTGAGCAGGGTGTTTCAGTAGACTAAACTAGCTAGCTGCATTTGCTAACTACAGTTGAAGTCTGAAGTTTACATACACCTTAGCCAAATACATTTAAACTCAGTTTTTCACAATTCCTGACTTTAATCATAGTAAAAATTCCCTGCCTTAGGTCAGTTAGGATCACCACTTTATTTTAAGAATGTGAAATGTCAGAATAATAGTAGAGAGAATGATTTATTTCAGCTTTTATTTCTTTCATCATATTCCCAGTGGGTCAGACGTTTACATACACTCAATTAGTATTTGGTAGCATTGCCTTTAAATTGTTTAACTTGGGTCAAACGTTTCGGGTAGCCTTCCACAAGCTTCCCATAATAAGTTGGGTGAATTTTGGCCCATTCCTCCTGACAGAGATGGTGTAATTGAGTCAGGTTTGTAGGCCTCCTTGCTCTCACACGCCTTTTCAGTTCTGCCCACTAATTTTCTATAGGATTGAGGTCAGGGCTTTGTGATGGCCACTCCAATACCTTGACTTTGTTGTCCTTAAGCCATTTTGCCACAACTTTGGAAGTATGCTTGGGGTCATTGTCCCTTTGGAAGACCCATTTGCGACCAAGCTTTAACTTCCTGACTGATGTCTTGAGATGTTGCTTCAATATATCCACATAATTTTCCTTCCTCATGATGCCATCTATTTTGTAAAGTGCACCAGTCCCTCCTGCAGCAAAGCACCCCCACAGCATGATGCTGCCACCCCCGTGCTTCACGTTTGGGATGGTGTTCTTCGGCTTGCAAGCAGCCACCTTTTTCCTCCAAACATAACGATGGTCATTATGGCCAAACAGTTCTATTTTTGTTTCATCAGACCAGAGGACATTTCTCCAAAAAGTAAGATCTTTGTCCCCATGTGCAGTTGCAAACCGTAGTCTGGCCTTTTTATGGCGGTTTTGGAGCAGTGATTTCTTCCTTGCTGAGTTGCCTTTCAGGTTATGTCGATATAGGACTTGTTTTTCTGTGGATATAGATACTTTTGTACCTGTTTCCTCCAGCATCTTCACAAGGTCCTTTACTGTTGTTCTGGGATTGATTTGCACTTTTCGCACCATAGTACGTTCATCTCTAGGAGACAGAACGCGTCTCCTTCCTGAGCGGTATGACGGCTGCGTGGTCCCATGGTGTTTATACTTGCGTACTATTGTTTGTACAGATGAACATAGTACCTTCAGGTGTTTGGAAATTGCTCCCAAGGATGAACCAGACTTGTGGAGGTCTACCATTTTTTTTCTGAGGTCTTGGCTTATTTCTTTTGATGTTCCCATGATGTCAAGTGTAACAGTGGTGCTTCCGTCCCTCTCCTCGCCCCTACCTGGGCTTGAACCAGGGACCCTCTGCACACATCGACAACAGTCACCCTCGAAGCACCGTTAACTGTCGCTCCACAAAAGCCGCAGCCCTTGCAGAGCAAGGGAAACAACTACTTCAATGTCTCCGAGCGAGTGACGTCACCGATCGAAATGCTACTAGCGCGCATCGCTAACTAGCTAGCCATTTCACACCGGTTACACAAGCAAAGAGGCACTGAGTTTGAAGGTAAGCCTTGAAGTACATCCACAGGTACACCTCCAATTGACTCATATGATGTCAATTAACCTATCAGAAGCTTCTAAAGCCATGACATCATTTTCTGGAATTTTCCAAGCTGTTTAAAGGCACAGTCAACTTACTGTATGTAAACTTCTGACCCGCTGGAATTGTAATACAGTGAATTATAAGTGAAATAATCTGTCTGTAAACAATTGTTGGAAAAATTACTTGTGTCATGCACAAAGTAGATGTCCTAACCGACTTGCCAAAACTGTAGTTTGTTAACAAGAAATTTGTGGAGTGGTTGAAAAACGAGTTTTAATGACTCCAACCTAAGTGTATGTAAACTTCCGACATCAACTGTAAGTAAGTGAAACTGAAAGTGAAAAAAAATAACGAAATCTCTCTCTCTCATTTTGGAAGAAAGTAATTTGTTAAACTGTTCAACTACTGTCTTTCTCTCTCTTTGAGTCAACTACTCACCACATTTTATGCATTGCAGTGCTAGCTAGCTGTAGCTTATACTTTCAGTACTAGATTAATTCTCTGATACTTTGATTGGGCGGACAACATCTCAGTTCATGCTGAACGAGCTCTGATAGGTTGGAGGACGTCCTCCGGAAGTTGTCATAATTACTGTTTAAGACTATGGAAGGGAGTGAGAACCATGAGCCTCCTAGGTTTTGTATTGAAGTCAATGTACCCAGAGGAGGACGGAAGTTAGCTGTCCTCCGGCTACACTATGCTGCTACCCTACAGAATGCTGTTGAGGCTACTGTAGACTTTCTTTGCAAAATAGTGTTTTAATCAATGATTTGGTGACGTGATTTTATCTAAAAATGATAACTTTTTACATGTTTTAAATAAAAAATTCACTGAGGCGGATGGTCCTCCCCTTCCTCCTCTGAGGAGCCTCCACTGACTTTGAGGTATGTTTGCTCCCGTTTGGTGGGTGCCGTACGTCTTGAAGACGGACATCCAGGTGGATGAGCGCAACGTGTCGCGCTGCTTCAAGGGCTACCACCACAACACTGACGACGAAAAGCGGAGCGTGGCCACAATCCACCTCATCATCGTGGTGTGCTTCGTCTTGGTCTTCTTCATAGTAGTAGTCTGTAACCTGCTCATCGCCCGGGCCCTGCTCGCCCAGTCACCTATCCAGACTCGGGGCTCTAATTCATACAATTTATTTTATTATTTTATTTTTTGTCATTTAGCAGACGCTGTTATCCAGAGCGACTTACAGGAGCAATTAGGGTTAAGTGCCTTGCTCAAGGGCACATCGACAGATTTTTCACCTAGTCGGCTCGGGGAGTAGAACCAGCGACCTTTCGGTTACTGGCACTATGCTCTTAACCACTAAGCTACCTACATGCCCTGGGGGGTGAAGGGCCAGGCCCTGCAGATGATGTGTGCCGTGGTGGGGGTATTTGTGGTGTGCTTCCTCCCCCACCATGTGGTCCAGGGTCCCTGGACTCTGGCTGTACTGGAGATCAAGGAGGGCTGGGGCAGCATGGACTGGGACCAGCGGACCAGGCAGTGGCTTAACGACGCCCATCAGGTCACCTTGATGCTGATGGGGCTCAACTGCCTCCTGGACCCTATGGTGTCCTGCTTCGCCACCAGGAAGTTCCGCCTGTACATCAAGGATTATCTGAAAAAGTTGGGGAGGGGCAAAGGATGCTCGGAAACAGCTATCACACAAATGTATATTGTGGAGTGCAAGAACGTGAGCCAGAGCCTCCATAGCGAGCAGCAGCAGCTCGAGATTTAAATCTCTAGCTAACATTGTATTGTACATATTGTGGCTAATGCTAATAATGACTATTGATAGTGACCACATCCTCAGGATGCTTAATTTCATCACACCCACATCTAACAATGCACACATAGTGCAGAACATGCACTCTGTTATGTAGCCTCATGTTCATTCAGACACATTCACATGAACAGTATGAAAAAAGTATGAAAAAAAAGTATGAAAAATGTATGCACTCTGGATAAGAGCGTCTGCTAAATGACAAAAATGTAAATGTAAATGTGTGGCAAGGTGTGACCTGATCCATATGGGTGTGACCATTTGAAGTAGCAAAACTCGTGCAGCACACACCATACACAATCCCCCTCTAGGCCACCATAATCACACTGTTCTTCAACTGGTCGTTCAGAACAGCACTGTCGTTCAACTGTACCGGGCAGCGTGTATGGCGTTGTTCAGTCGTGCGGTTTGCTGATGTCAACGTTGTGAACAGAATGCCCCCCATGGTGGCAGTGGTGTTATGGTATGGGCAGGCATAAGCTACAGACAACGAACACAACTGCATTTTATCGATGGCAGTTTGAATGCACGGAGAAACCGTGACGAGATCCTGAGGCCCATTGTCGTGCCATTCATCCGCCGCCATCACCTCATGTTTCAGCATGATTATGCACGGCCCCATGTCGCAAGGATCTGTACACAATTCCTGGAAGCTGAAAATATCCCAGTTCTTCCATGGCCTGCATACTCACTAGACATGTCAGCCTGATCAACTCTATGTGAAGGAGATGTGTCGCGCTGCATGAGGCAAATAGTGGCCACACCAAACACTGAGTGGTTTTGTCATCCACGCCCCTACCTTTTTTTAAGGTATCTGTGACCAACAGATGCATATCTGTATTCCCAGTTATGTGAAATCCATAGATTAGGGCCTAATTATTTTATTTCAATTGACTGATTTCCTTATAACTCAGTAAAATCTTTGAAATTGTTGCATATTGCGCTTATATTTTTGTTCAGTGTATTTTTTCAATTTAATAATAATTACCTGGACGTTCTGAAAGCACTTGTATAGATTTTTTTAAATATATAAGTCAGTTGCAAGTTAATTAAATTATGCGGAGCATGATTAAGGCTAAGCTCAAATGTGGGAGCTGGAGATGCTTTAAATCAGGACAGTGTTCAAAAGTTTAAAGTTGTTCTCTAACAATTTCATAGCAACTATAATTTCACGCTCATTGGGTTCTTGATGTTCTCTGAAGGGAGACCCACTGTTTCTAACTTTGAAAACGTCTGTTTTAGAAGAAAAAAAACAAATCAATTGCTAGGCTAGAAGCATGGGGAAATGTCTAGATGCTTTTTTCCAGGGGAGATGAAGTTTATGAATTGCTTGGCTGGGCTGTGGGACAGTGGATGCGCATCCAGGGATTGTCGTTAATAACTCCCTGCTATTAACCAATCAGCATCCAGGATCCAAACAACACGTTTTATAACAATATATTGTTTTTCACAAATGTGTACTGAAACAGCAAAGATGTATTGAGAGAGAGGAGAGAGTCAGAAATGGACAGAAAGACTATAAAAAAATATTCTGTATACTGGACTGGTTCTTTTCCACAGCCGCCCCATTTCTGCATAAATGAATACCAATTGGGTTGTGAAGCCTCTTCTGCTTAGAAGCATCTAGACATGTGGCTGATGTTCCTAATCAGTGTCCTTATACTCCAGAATAAATAAGTCCCTATCAGTTTCAAAATTTTTTTCAGATTTCTCCAGGCCGTTTTCATCTGTTCTCTTTCCTTTTTATTTGTAATATGAATGAAACAACCTTCTCTCCATTAGGCCTGGCTAGAAATATTTGGTGTGCGCTATATACAGAAACCAACAAGGATTACGGGCAACAAACAATTTGCAACCTATTCCCTATTTTTTATTTATTTAACCTTTATTTAACTAGGCAAGTCAGTTAAGAACAAATTATTATTTACAATGACAGCCTACCCCGGCCAAACCTGGACGACGCTGGGCCAATTGTGCGCCGCCCAATGGGACTCCCAATCATGACCGGTTGTGATACAGCCCTACAGTGAGGGGAAAAAGTATTTGATCCCCTGCTGATTTTGTACGTTTGCCCACTGACAAAGAAATTATCAGTCTATAATTTTAATGGTAGGTTTATTTGAACAGTGAGAGACAGAATAACAACAAAATAATCCAGAAAAACGCATGTCAAATTTTTTATTTTGGGGAAATAAGTATTTGACCCCCTCTCAATCAGAAAGATTTCTGGCTCCCAGGTGTCTTTTATACAGGTAACGAGCTGAGATTAGGAGCACACTCTTAAAGGGAGTGCTCCTAATCTCAGCTTGTTACCTGTATAAAAGACACCTGTCCACAGAAGCAAATCAATCAATCAGATTCCAAACTCTCCACCATGGCCAAGACCAAAGAGCTCTCCAAGGATGTCAGGGACAATATTGTAGACCTACACAAGGCTGGAATGGGCTACAAGCCAATCGCCAAGCAGCTTGGTGAGAAGTTGACAACAGTTGGAGCGATTATTCGCAAATGGAAGAAACACAAAATAACTGTCAATCTCCCTCGGCCTGGGGCTCCATGCAAGATCTCACCTCGTGGAGTTGCAATGATCATGAGAACGGTGAGGAATCAGCCCAGAACTACACGGGAGGATCTTGTCAATGATCTCAAGGCAGCTGGGACCATAGTCACCAAGAAAACTATTGGTAACACACTACGCTGTGAAGGACTGAAATCCTGCAGTGCCCGCAAGGTCCCCCTGCTCAAGAAAGCACATATACAGGGCTGTCTGAAGTTTGCCAATGAACATCTGAATGATTCAGAGGAGAACTGGGTGAAAGTGTTGTGTTCAGATGAGACCAAAATGGAGCTCTTTGGCATCAACTCAACTCGCCGTGTTTGGAGGAGGAGGAATGCTGCCTATGACCCCAAGAACACCATCCCCACCGTCAAACATGGAGGTGGAAACATTATGCTTTGGGGGTGTTTTTCTGCTAAGGGGACAGGACAACTTCACCGCATCAAAGGGACGATGGACGGGGCCATGTACCGTCAAATCTTGGGTGAGAACCTCCTTCCCTCAGCCAGGGCATTGAAAATGGGTCGTGGATGGGTATTCCAGCATGACAATGACCCAAAACACACGGCCAAGGCAACAAAGGAGTGGCTCAAGAAGAAGCACATTAAGGTCCTGGAGTGGCCTAGCCAGTCTCCAGTCCTTAATCCCATAGAAAATATGTGGAGGGAGCTGAAGGTTCGAGTTGCCAAACATCAGGCTCGAAACCTTAATGACTTGGAGAAGATCTGCAAAGAGGAGTGGGACAAAATCCCTCCTGAGATGTGTGCAAACCTGGTTGCCAACTACAAGAAACGTCTGACCTCTGTGATTGCCAACAAGGGTTTTGCCACCAAGTACTAAGTCATGTTTTGCAGAGGGGTCAAATACTTATTTCCCTCATTAAAATGCAAATCAATTTATAACATTTCTGACATGCGTTTTTCTGGATTTTTTGTTGTTGTTATTCTGTCTCTCACTGTTCAAAGAAACCTACCATTAAAATTATAGACTGATCATTTCTTTGTCAGTGGGCAAACATACAAAATCAGCAGGGGATCAAATACTTTTTCCCCTCACTGTAGGGCTGTATCACAACCGGTCGTGATTGGGAGTCCCATAGGGCGGCGCACAATTGGCCCAGCGTCGTCCGGGTTTGGCCGGGGTAGGCTGTCATTGTAAATAATAATTTGTTCTTAACTGACTTACCTAGTTAAATAAAGGTTAAAAAATAAAAAATAAAAAATTAAATTGGGAATAGGTTGCAAATTCTTTGTTGCCCAGTCATCCTTGTTGGTTTCTCTTCACCATTCTGGTGAGATATTGTATACATTCTCCTTATAAAATATGATATAATATTGTTCTGTATATACAGGATGTATAGAAGGAGGAGTTGTATGTATGCAGCCTGACTCTGCAGATGACTCGCAATCATTAAACACAGCTCATTGCAGTCCAGAACTGGGGAAGCAGCAGCTGCTTGTAACAGGGCTGGGTCCTGATAACCCACATCCAGCTGAGTTGCCTGGAGAGGGGGAGAGAACGGTGGACAGAGACCCCCCCCCCCTCCACACTCATTGTATGCTAGGTGAATCAGAATGAGGTATGGGTACGGATTGGTGCGTGGGTGGGTGGATGGATGGAAGTGTGTGGGCGTGCTTGTCCATGTGCGGGCTTGTGTGTTTTGCACTGTTTGTGTGCTTGTGTTCCATCTGTGCACCACTCATCCTCTATCCCCTCCTCACCAATCAGCTTCATGAACACATGTAAATGTTTCTCTCTGGCTATGGCAGCCAACGGAGAAAAACTGCTTGGTAGCCGGCTGACATTTTAACATGTTGTTAGCTGTTGACAGGTTTTTTCGCTAATCCCTCCATGATTCCGATGAGATTGACAGATAATCCAACACCAATCAAACATAGCCAGTTTACCTGGGCTTAATTAGAGGTTGGGACTATAGATATTTTAGGAGGCTGGATTGGAATAATAACGTCTTTGTTTTGCCAGCTTTGTGGCTTGACAGCTGTTGTTTTTCTCAGCGTCTTTTTTTGCCCTACCTCTGTTTTGCTTCTGTCCATCTGGTGCGTCTGTGTCAGAGCTGATGTGTATGCCGTGCTCAGTGAGTCACAAGCCGATGCACTCTCCCTATCTACATTCTCACGCACACATTCTGGGGTTTTTCAGATCACCACCTGCCAACCGCCACTGTGCAATTTCCTGCAGAAATATGATTCAGCCAATTGTGCCGTGAAGAAAGGAATCATGGGAAAACAAACGAGTGCCGTTGCCATTCTGCCGCGCTAACAAGGAGGCTGAGAATAATAACCGCTAGTCAGTAATGATAATATAGATAAACGGGTGTCAGGCTCCTCGTGAAAAGATGAGCAATTATGGTGACTTGTCTACAATAACCAACAGTTGT